GCTGACAGTGTCAGCTCCTCTCCATCCATCCCTGTGTTCACTGGATTCATTTGTGGCACAAGCCAGCGTGACTGACTGGCTAAAGGCTCTTCCGTGTGTCACCCGTAGGGACATGGTGGGCACAGATTCAGCCAAATATGAAATTGTACATGAAGATAAAGGAAAGAGGCAGCTCTTCCCTTTCTATAACCTCCTGTATCCATGGGAACATGTTACAGTTTGATATCTACACAACAGCAATAGCTAGAAATGCTGTGGTGCATGGAGAAAGGGTCAGCTGAGCACCCGGGCCACGGCGGGGTGCTGGGGACACCCTGCTCCCACCCCAGGAGTCACAGCTTTAGTGTGCACAGGACAGCTGTGGTGCTGCCAGTTTGGAGAAAGAAATAATGTTAAAGAGCTGATGTGGTTCTTGGGGAGAGGAGAGACGGTGGAGCAACCCAAGCCATGCAGCAAGGGATGCTGCAGCAGGGTGAAGGAGATCCTACCAGGAGGTCCTAAAGCTAGATGAGAAAAGCGAGGAGGGAAAATGCTGTTTTTTTCGAGTTAGGTGTGAATGTCAATCTTTCTATTATGGGGGAAAAAATTGGAAGTAAATAAATAAATCTCATAAGGAAGGAAGAAGAAGAAGAAGAAGAAAATAAATATCTCTCAGCTACTTCTCATTAGTGGAGCAGTATTTACTTGGGTGAATATTTTGCCTGTTCACACTGCACAGCTAACAAGCTATCAGCAGGGAGGAATAAGACTATTTAATTTCTTAGCACACCTTGAACAGCCCATGGGGCTAACTTGCATTTGGGAAAATGAATACACAACCCAGACAAATAGCATTAATAATGCAACACGAGGACTTGCGAGCAGAGCACTGTGCTCTGGAAACCCCCAAATTGCATATGCCGTGCCCGAGTCAGCTCTTCACTCTGCCACGATGAAACTTGGCTGAAATCCACCCTAACATAACACCTTTGGAGCTCATCTGCTTGAAGCTGATAGAAGGGTGCAGGTCTTCAGTCCTGTGTCCAGAAGAGGCAACAGCAAGGTTCACCCGGGGCTCCCCCAGCTGGAGGGATGTCCTTGCCCCCAGCCCACCCAAGCAGCAGCTCCGTGCCATCCTCCTGGGCAAGAGCAGGATGAGCTTGCCCCCAAACCTCGCCTCACCACAGCAGCAGCTTCACCAAAAGCCGAAACAGCTCAGAGGTGTGCATGGTCTGCACCCCTGCCAGGAGGGGTTTGCTGCCCGGCGGGTGCTCTTGCCTCACCTGCACCTTCCCAGGGGCTCCTTGGGTCCACCAGCAACATGGGAACAAGGGCAGCAGCACTGGAGAACACTTCAGCTATACCTAGATCTAGATTTATATAGACAGAGATTTTTTTTTTTTTTCCACTCTGCAAGAAAGAGCTCTGGAGCCATGAGCTGCTCCAGCAACAACTGAGGGGAACATGACCCAGCACAGCCTCGTTATTCCCAGCTGCTCATGTCTGGTCTCTAATGAACCTCTTGCATCCACACCTCATGATTCAATGAGGGTTGTCAGGATGCTCCTAACTAATGGGTAAATGGAGCCTGTTCCCACCACATCCCATTGCACCTGGGGCCATGGGAATGAGATGGTGGGAGGGTCCAACAAGGAGAGGAGGACACTAGCAGAGAGGAACCTTTATGTCCCAGGAGATCTGGGCCACAAAATGCCTCCCTCGTCTTACAGAAAAGGGACTTGATTTAAAAACCCCAAACACACAGGGGGAGGGTGGCTCCCAGAAGTTCCCTGAGCAGCTCTCAGGGTGCCTTCCCCACAAGCTGGGGGGCTGGGAGCTTGCTCACCTCCCACGTGCAGTTTCTTCCGTAGCCATCCATCCCTCCCGGTGCTGCAAACTCCATATGGCACCTGGGCTGCGGGATGGATGCGTGCGCGTGTGGGAGGCTGATGGCAGGGACAGAAAAAGCTTCAGCCTGCTGCAGTCCTGAGCAGCACCCGGGAGCAGGAACGGCACCGAATCAGGCAGTGCTGGGTTTTTATTTAACCCCTAATCCCAGTGATTTGCTCTGACACTATAGCTCCAGCAGACACAACCACATGCACACAGCGTCTGACACCAATTAGTCATTCATGCAAAATAAGAGATTTTTTTTTGCTTCTAAGTGCAAACAATTTTCTGCGAAGCGTCAGGCAAGCAATTACCCTCCTACGGGCCCGCGAGCGTCTTGACTCGTCCCGGCAGCACCAGGTGGAGAGCTTAAGGACTGCAGTCATGCAGGGGTTAAACCTCTAGTTTAATGGTTTTAGTTTAAACTAAACTTTTCATTTATTCCAATCCAAGCATCAGACACAGAAAGAACAGCGTGAGCCCGGCACTGAAACAGGGCTGGGAGAGAGACCAAAGGAGGCACCCGAGGGGTGGTATTCAGGGAGAGAGGGATGTGGCGTAACGGAGATGAAGGTGGGGTGAAGCCATACTGGAGGTCTAGGAGAGGTGTTTAGATGAGTGGGTGTCCTCAGAGGGTTCTGCAGTTCTTTGTTGAGCATGTATCGCCGTGGAGAACGTCATCCATGGGGCGATGCTGGCGGCAGGACCTGGCAGGGTGCTGGGCTCTGCAGTCGTCCCAGCACCTCGGCCATGCGAACTGCCAGGCTCACAAATGCAGCCCCATGATGACAACCTCTCCAATGAATTACAATAATTACTTTTCTAATTCGCCCCTAGACTCTACTAAACCTTGGGGAAGGCCTGAAGGTTTCTTTTTTTCACATTTTCTGCTTATATATAGGCAGACATTTTAATTTATGAAACAAATAATTCTGTATTTAACCAGTGCAAAGGAAAATTCCTCTCGGGGACAGGGGTGTCTCACAGGGATGATGCTGCAGAGGATTAACAGCACTAAACAACTCCCCGGCGTGGGGGAACGCAGCCGTGGGGACAGCCCTCGCGCCTCCGCGCAGCAGTGATTTTGGTGATCCCAAAGGTTTCCCTTCCAAGAAGGACTGAGAATATAAAGGACCCATCAAGGAGAAGATGCAACGACAACTGTCTTTGAGCCACCAGAAAGCACCAACATCCAGCCCAGGAAACTAGATCGGGCTCTGGGAAAGGCAAGATCATCGCTTGTGAACTCCGGGGCTTTCCTGGAGCCTAATTTACAGCGAACGTGGAGATCCCAGAGGAAAACTGATGGTTTATCTGGCTGGGGTGAACAGCTGAGGACCAGCAAGCTTTGTCACTGGATGGTGGGTCTGGGTTGTGCTTTAATGCTTGAACCTTCCCAGCAGCCAACCTGCCACGTGGCACTTACAAACTGGGTGTTAAAATGAGAAAACAGACGCTTTGGGGTGATACAAAAACTGAGGGTTAATACAGCTGTGTCTACAAAAAGATGCCCTGGTTTTAAAACTTAGCAAATTAGGAGTCAGCAACAACATATATACACTAGATATACGTTACTTCCTTATCTGAAGAAACTGGAGAGGAAATAATCCCGAAGAGTTGGCTGGATATACACTGCAGTGAGGTCCCACAGGATGGGCGTCAGGGTCGATGCAGTGGTGCTGTGCCAGGACTTGGACCCTACTTCAGAGTAGTTTAAATAATAAATAACAAATAACAATACATAATAAATAATAACGAAGAGGTGCAATGTTAATTACACGGTGTGCTACAAACGAGGTTAAAAGGGTGTGTATTCTATTTGTTTCAATTACAGTAAGACAAAACAAGCTCAAACATACCAAGAATTCCCAGAAGGTTTTGTTTTGCAGAAACGAAATTTTCAGAAAAGTTTAAAATAACAAGAACAGAAACAAAGTTTGGACAAAGCTCTTTCTCCTGTGAGGGGACAAGCTCGTGGCTTACCCAGGAGCACAGGAGGGAGCACAGCTTTTTTCTTCCCTGCCCTTTGTTTTCAGTCAGAGGGATGCTCTCACCCTGGCAGCTGTCAAGTCTTCCAAGATCAAAATGCCAAAGCATCGATTGAGGCTTTAAAACTTAAAAGCCTCAAAACAGAGTTCATACACACACACAAAAGCAGCTAAAATACCAGATTCTACAAAAATGAAATAAAAGCCAACTACTTTGCTGTGGTGGGCTAGTGCCACTAATTCAGCGACATCACTTTACACCAGTTTGGGATCTCGCCTTTCACTGAAATACTTTGCATTTCTGGCCATAATTTTCCCTAAATCCTGCACCACTTTTCCTGTGGGAAAGTCTTAGGTAGTTTTCCACCCAATGTTCCACTGAATTTCCCCAGTCACTCTTCAGACCTCCAGCCTATGGGATGGTGGAAGAAATGTGGGTACTTGAGCCCCCCATCATCCCCGACACCCCAGGGCCGTCATTCCTCCAGTCTAACACAGGGTGTATGAGCAACAGTCTGCAAGTGGCTGTAGAGGAACAACAACCTGCTTGTGTCTGAGCCTGCTGAGGTATAGTCGAGAAAGATGGCTATTTCCCATCACAGCCTGGTTAAAAGTGATATCCAGCAACAAGGGATATCAATTAGTAAATACTGAATCAAGACAAAATTGGTATTTTTCTAGTGATGGCTATTTCTTGGAAATGTACACCAATCTTTTACACCTGCTGGCACCTAGGTGAGTAAATCTATAATTAAACCATACAGCCAAATGCACAAGCTTTTGCAGTCTACCTAAACAAAAAAATACATTTTTTCTTTTTTTTCTTAGTTCTACTCTATTTCCTTTTTTCTGCTCTCGAGTCCAGCCCTGGATTTATCCCCCAGGCAGAACTGCTGTTTGCTCAGCAGGATGAGCTGAAAGAAGACAACTTTGGCGAGATTTTTAGTTATGCAGGGAAAAATAAAAAAAAAGACAAAGAAAAGAAAATATCCCAATTCTCTAGGTTATATATTGGTTATATAACCAATCTCCCTGGTTATATTTACACTCCCATAAATAGAGAATTGCCCTGAAAGAGTGCCCTAAAAAAAAAAAAAAGACAAACGGAGTCAAGATGTGGCAACTGTTGGCTCTTGGGTGGGAGCGGGCGCAGGGGCGGTGGGGCTCAGCACGGGGACGAGGACATCTGGTCATAGTCGGGGCACTTGAGCAGAGCCGGGTAGTTACTGTTCATCTGCAGCGACGCCTCGCTGGAGATATCCGAAGGGCTGCGTCCCCGCGCCCACGTGTCCGGGTGCAAGAACTGCCCCGAGTAGTCAGAGCAGTTGCTCAGCCGGGGACGGTAGAAGCTGGGGTGAGGTCTGTAGATGTCCTCGGCCGTGTAGCGCTTCATGAAGAGGTACACGGACATCACCCCGGCACTCTGCAGGTGAGAGAATCTTAGAATCATTAAGGCTGGAAAAGAACTCAAGGATCATCAAGTCCAACCGTCAACCCAACACCACCCAACCCACTAACCCATGTCCCTAAGCACGGCCTGAGAGACACGTCCTGACACACACCGCGCTAACCACTGCCTTCTCCACCACCAGAACAAACAGAACAAAAACACAAATTGCTTTTCTTGCTCTGCTGACGATGCACAGGGGCTCCCGTGGACAGTCAGTTCATGTGCCCTGGGTCCCTGCGGTAAATAACGTTCCACATCCCCTCCTCTGCATCCCCGCTTGGCATCAAACCATCATCAAATGTCCTCATCAGTGCTCCAGGCTTGGGTTCTGTCCCCATGGTATGTGTCTCCACCATACCATATATCTACTCTCACAGCCTGCCCTTAGACCCCAGCCCAGCCCTCTCCCCCCACCCAGAGTGGGATACACTCATTACAGGGATGGGACAGCTCCCAGGTACCTCCGTGAGAAGGAACGAGATGGCAGAGAAGGCGAACGACCATCCGTATTTGTAATTGAAGAACGTTTCTGAGTCCTTGGTCCTGTTCAGCATCTCGTCGTTGATGCTGGATATGTAGAGGACCAGCCCCACCACCAGCGACAGACCTGGGGACAAACCAAGGACAAACATGGTGGGAAACACTCCAGGGATGGAGCTGCCGAAGAAGCGCCTTCCTTTATGACCTGACTTATGGGTGAAAGTGTAAAACTGTGGAACTGCAGTTGAAATAATGAAGGAAAGAAGCTTCTTTCCCACTGCGCTACCCAGGGCACTCCTCTCCTTTGCCTCCCACCGTTCCCTGCTCAAGCAGGTCCATGTGCACCTGGCAGGAGCTGCCTCCAAAGCCGGGCAGTCACCGCTGTTTGTTTAACACCAGCACAACACCATGAATAAAACATCCACTTGTCTCATGTAGAGACACGCCAGCGGAGTGGTTTGAAGTTTCAGATCTCTCCAGCGACCGACGTGCCGTGTGGGGTGACCCCTCCCCCAGCAGCAGCTCCTGCACGGGTGGTGGGTGCTCTCCCCACGTCTCCTCGCCACTGCCACAAGCAAGCCTTGTGCCGGGGAATTTTCCATCCTGCAAAGCCCAAGCGGGCCATGGGGCTGAGCCAGGAGCCCCCGTGGGTGACAACCCCAGCAAGGAGCCATTGCAGCGGGGCTGGAGAGCACCAGCAGCAAAGAAAAGCACCCACGAGGATTTTCAGGAGAAAAACCCAGAGAGCAAAACTCACCCGAGAGGATGAAGAATATCCCCGAGACGAAGGCGAGGATGGTCCTGTGGGGCCGAATGTGGCCGATGTTGCTGAGGATGAAGCCGATGAACATGAAGAAGAGGCTGACCAGAGGGAAGGGGGTGGCAGAGCGGATCATCTCTGGGCAGAGGGAAGCGAGAACAGGTCAGACAGGTCAGTCCTCCCCCCCACGGCACAAGGGTCCCTCTCTGCTAATGAGCCGAGTGAAGAGGTGACGCTGGCTGCGGGGATGTCTGCTAGTGATGGCATTTCTGAGGGTTTCTAGGTGAAGTGTTACACTGGGAAAAACAATCAGAACCTGTGTTTTTTTCTTTGGCTTCGCTGCAAAACTGTTTGCTGAACACTTCTATTTATCAAATCCGAAATGACTGCAGAATTCATTGTGAGAGCTGTGACACTCCACCCTTAATTCATTCCACTACGTAATGTGCAAACCTGACTGCTGCAGAATAAACACAGCTGCAAATTATGGAGAGGGGACTAAAAAGCCAAACACTTCCATACACATCCAGTGAAAGGAAATTGTACCACTTAGAGCCTCCGTGAGCATCTTTACATCAGAAAGAGATGCTTCCAAAGCTTAAGAGCACATCAGATGACTCACATCATAGTAAAAAATGTAGTTGCATCCTTGCACGGCAGCACTATCAGGGGACCAGGAGCTTCAGTGGCTCAAAGGGGATTTCCCGGGGGGATCCCTAGTGACCCTCTGGTGCATTGCAGCATGCAAAGGGTACGACCCCACCGAAGCACTTACTCAGGACGTTGACTGTGGATTCAGATGTCAGCTGGATGTTCATGGGCATGACGTATTCGATGGTGAAGCACCGGCCACGCTCTTCACCTGCAGCAAACAGACCGAGTCACACCTGAGGTGTCTTTGTTTATTGTCGGTGAAGGAGAGAATGGCTTTAAAATTCATTTCAGTGCATGCACAAAAACTATCTTGCTTTTTAGTGCTGCTTCCATCTTGGGCACTGGTGAAGAAATACGTCTCTTAACTTCCATCTCCCTTGTGCAAAAGGATTCCCTTGTACACTGAAACATGGACCCCGAAGCCCGAGGATTTAAGCTGACCCCAGAGGAGGTACCAGAGCTCCTCACTCCGCCGATATTTTCAAAGCAGTGGTTGAACCTTGGTGACATTTCAGATGGGTCACTTTGAGATTCCTGCTCCCTTGGGTTTTGTTCAACTCCGTCCCCGCAGCCAAATCGCTTCATCAAACTTGGCGCGGACAGAGGGAACGGTCCAGCTGACCTGAATCTGAACGTTGCAGGGACGAAAAGGAAAGTTCTGAGCTGCTGCCCAAGGCACTGCGGCCACGGTGCTGGGACAGAGCAGGACCGGGGGCAGCGGGGGCTGGCACGGCAGCAGCGAACTCACCCGAAGCCTGCGAGCAAAGGCACATTTCTCCGTCAGGCTGCTAAAGCTGGCACGAGGCGATGGCATTACTCAGGTTGTGCCTGACTTTTGGAAGCAACGATGAGCATCACCTCTAAAAGTCCCATTTCCCCATCCTTTTCCCGCGGTATGATGCTGATACACAGCAAACCTCACCTTACAGGGGATGGTTTTTGGGAGGGAGCCCATACCTGCCAGAAAGCAGACCCTCCAGAGCCCCGAGTGCAGCGACAGCTTGATTTCTACCGACTGGTTTTGGGGCTGGACGATGCCTTCCTCCAGGTAGAGCCAGTAGTCGGTGCTGACGGAGATGCCCAGGAGGCCGAGGCCGCAGACGGCGAACACGCTGCTGAGCAGGGTCAGCGCCCTCCTGCCGCAGGCGCTCATCCCCAAAAGCATGGGGGGGCCGGGGCGGCGGTGGGGATGGCTGCAGGAGAGGGGACGCGGTGGTCAGCACAGAGCCGTTGAACCACTTTTTGGGGGGATGGATTGCTCTCAGTTGCTTATTTAGGTCAAGCTGAAACAAGCCATTAAAACAATCACGGTGCGCGCTGACAGATGGAGAGTTTGAACCAAATCCCACCCGACTGCTGCCCCACGCCACGCAGGGCTCGGGGATGTGCTGGATGCCAGAGCAGCGTGGGATGGCCGGGAGCAGCTCATCGGCTCCTGCCTTATTTTGTGCAGGGGAATTTCTGGTGCTC